GGGGCGGTGCCTTCGAGGCTCCCCTGGCAGCTGCGGCGAGGCCGGGCTCAGTGGCGTCGGGAGCCGCGGGTTACCTGTGAGTTCGCGGAAGTCCGGTCAGACTCCCCCCCGGCTCAGCCCGGCCCAGCCCGGCCCGACCCGACCGCGCCCAGCCCCTGCCTCCGCTCGGCCCCCGCGCGGCCCGCCATGGGTCCTCCGTGCCGCAGCCTCTCCGCGCTCCTGCTGCTGCTGCTGCTGCTGCAGGTACGTTAGGTCCCCTGACTTGGGGGGACACCTCCGGCCCCACGTCCCTTCCTGGAAGCTGCGGCGCGCTCTGGGCGCCGCGGACATGGGAGCGGGAGAGCGGCGCGCGGCTGTGCCCGCTCCCCGGCGAATACCGAGGCGGGGGCGCCTCGCTGTGGGGCCCCGGGCTCCGGGCTGGCCGCGCCTTGGGCTTGGGCGGGCAGTGGGGGAGGGCAGCGGGGTGGGGGTCGGGATGCAGTCAAGGGGGAACGGTCCCCGAGGTAAGGAAAAGGGGTATCAATAGAAATAGACACCTGCCACGTAAAGAAGGGGCGGCAAATAGGAATGGAGGCGCCCCCGGCGTAAGAAAGTGGGGTGCACGGGGGTTGGAGCGCCCCCCGGTGCGGGGAAATAGATTTAGGAGTGGGAGCGTTCTCGGTCTGTGGAAAGTGAGGTCGGGAAGGGTAAAGACGTCTTCAGTGAAGTGGAAAGGGACAGGAAGGAAAGGTGGGCTAGTGGGGAGTGGTGAGCCAGCAGCCCCCTCCCCCAGGAGTTCATGGGGGCTTGGTGGCTGCAGGTTTCAGGCTGGGAGAGGGTGACGTCGCTGCCTCCCGGGGGGCGGTCCTCCCGCAATCCCGACGCTCGGGGCGAGGGAGGCGCGGCCCCGCTGGTTTCGGTGTGGGTAGGAGGCAACCCCCCATTCACCCCCGTTCCGTACCTTTCTCCCACCCAAGGTCCCATCGCGGCTCTGCCAGGAGCCGGAGCCCTGCCGTCCCGGCTTTGGCGCCGAGAGCTACAAGTTCACCGTGCCCCGGCGGCACCTGGAGAGAGGCCGCGTCCTGGGCAGAGGTGAGGGCGCGCCGCGGGGGTCCCTGCGCGGAGAATTGGCGCTCCCACGCCTCGGGCTCAAACGACACCCTTTTGGAATTTATACAGATTTAGGGGACGAAACCATAAACCACGATGGAGCGTAGCCCCGTCTGGTTAACTATGTTATAAAGTAGTGGAGATGTGTGTGTGTTGGGGGGGACACTCATTAGAGGCTTTCAGTGTTTCTCATTGTCCTGAGCACTTTAGAGACAGTCTGTCATTTTAGACTGCAAAAACCTGCTGGCTGGGAAGGTGGGGCAGGAATATTCCCCTTGTACAGATGAGCAAACGGAGGCTCAGACGGTGACGTCCGCTTGTCCATGGTCAGCAGAGCAGGAATTGGAACTGGGATGACTCCCAGGCTCCATTACGCACTCTCTCTGGGATGACTGATGAGCCCTCTCTTGGTTACCAGGGCTGTGTGGCTTTTGTTCATAGAGATGAAAACATTTTGATACCGGTACTATTTCCCCAAGGAATAAAATGATTTTTTTTTTTTTTTTTTTTTGAAAAAGAGCGTAGTAGCTGTAACTCAGGGGATGAAATGCGCACCAACACCCAGTGTGCCTCTAGGCCCTATCACTGTGATAATCTAGAGCTGGCTCTGTTCACTTCACTGTTGCCCAGGTGTGGGAGCAAGGGAAGGAGCTGGTTTCTCTTCTGGTTTCACTCATTCCCAGGTGCTTGTATTGTACCAAACCACTTTCTCCTCCATCATGATTTTGGTTGATTGAGCAAGTATCATAACAATAAAAGAAAGCCTTTTGAAAAAGAGAAATCACCCACAATTCCCCTGAGGGAATACTTCCACTGTGTTGATTCTTTCACTCTTGGCCACGTGAAAAATCTGTAGCAATCATACTGTTGTCTTACACTTTTTTTTTTGAACTTTGGAAGTTGTTCCAACAGTGGGCAGTATTTTTTGCAGAGAAACTACAGCTTGATTGATTAAACATATTTGCTTTTCTGAGACCCGTCTGTGTTCTGCGGAGCTTCCTATTGGATCAGAAAGGAAGCGATGTCCACCTGATGCTGCGGTGCAGCAGCCCATTGCTCAGCCAGGGTTTACTTAGGGGAGGCAGACTTAACCCAGCCTTGAACAGAGGGACAGGAGTGTGCCCATGAGGTGTCCCAAGACAAGTCACTTTGTTTTCCTGTGCTGGGACATTTGGTAGTGCCAAGGATGGATGAGTTGGTTTTTATTTCTCCCCTCTAAGCTCTTGTGTCTGACCTATAATAATGTTATTAGATATTAATAATATAGTTGTTATCATTGTTATCCATAGTGGCGCCTATTATTCACTTTTGCCCCAGACTTTGGGTCAAGTGCTTCACATTTTACCCCATTTAATTTTCACAAGAACCTTAGGAGGGTGGGCACCATTATTATTTCTATTTCGCAAGAGAGGAAACAGGCATGAACAGTGCGGTAACCTGCTGAAGGATTGTGACAGTTGATCCTATTTTTGGCGGCTGGCCAGTTTGGGGATCCGAACCCTTGTTATCAGCACCACACTCTAACCAACAGAGCTAACCAACCAGCCCCACGGTTGGTCTTTCTCTTTTCCCTTATCCTTCCCCTCAATCTCAGAAAAAAAAAAAAAGAAAAAAGGTGTTAGGGGATCAGTGTCCATTGTGAAGTAGACTACGTGCTCCCAATGTGGCCTGAAGAACAGAAGTGTTGATAGGGTGGGACCCCTGAGAGGAGGTGGTGATAATGGAGACGGGCCAGATTAGGTGGGAGGTTGGGGGGGTGGACTCTGGGGTTGGTGGTTTTGGTGGGAGAGGCAGACTCACCAGCATTCCCCAAGCTTCTTGTGGCCGGTTTTGGTTCTCTTTGTCTGCAGACGTCACCCCTACTCAACGATTTCCTGATATTCAACATTTTTTTTTTTTTTTGGCCTTTTTGGACTGTGGGGTCTCCTTGTACCAGTCCAATGTGGAATTGCCGCAGGATGGAAGTGCCCTTCTAGTAAAATCACACATTGGACCTCAGGAATGGCTTTGTGATTTAAAAAGGCAGTCAGGGTTTCAGGAAGTGGCCTCACTCTTTGGACAGTGTAGATGTGAAATTGGCACCAGGTTTAGACATTGGCTTCACGGAGAATTTGCTGCATGGGAGTTTGAAAACAAAGAATCTGCCATAGGTGGCTGTAGAGTGTCACAAATAGGGTTTTGACTGAACTCAGGACTTTGGGGGTGGTTTGCCGAGGTTTATTCCTGTGCCTCATGAGGTGGCTAACGCCACAATCTCAGCCTTTTGTTTATTCCATTGGTTTCTCTCCAGGTTTTAGAATGAAGAACATTAAAAAAAAAAAAAGCCAACTGTAAACTGGTTCTTTAGAGTTGCTGATTGTATTTCTTTTTTCTCAGCACAACCTGGTTTGAGAAACTTAGGCTATTGGAAGGTTTGGGATCTCAGAAGTATTAGCCTAGTGCACACAGCTTTAAGTTGATTTGGGGGTGGAAAAAAGAAAAGCTGGCAGGCTTTTAAAGTGATCGTTTCCTTCCTTTGTTTCCTCTACGATCTGGCCTTGGACAAACAGGGCCTATATTTTGGGTTTGAGCTTCGTCTGCTTGATGGATTGACCTAGTTTACAGGCAGCCACCTGTGTGGGTTAAATACACCCATTTCCCCTCCTTTCTTTTTTTTTTTTTTTTTCCTTTTTGTCTTTTTTCATGTCCGGCAACGGATCGCCTATGTTATAAAGTAGTGGAGAT